TTTGAGTCAACCACGATTCCTGAAGATGCTATCTTCACAACATTCACCACTGCTAAAGTGGTGAAGGCGAAGACAGACGAAGCACCTGATCCAGCGCTGAATATTTCTGCTCAGCCGGCAACGATGGTTGGCTTTAAGTCTGCCAAAGCTGTCGCCTTGGAAGTGCGTTCAGTGCCGACTGATCAGGATGATGCGAACACTTCGTCTGGTGCCAGCGAACCTCAATTGTCACCAACAGACCAGGGCACCATAGCCTTCAGATCTGCGCCTTCCACCCTCTTCAAACCTGCGTCCGCTATTCTTACCTCCGAGATTCAATCCGCTTTCGAACCAGCATCGGTATTGGAGACACCGCAGTTCATTGGTTTCAAAACGGCGAACAATGCTACGTTCGCGCCGTCGGAGAAAGCACTGCAACTAGCAGCACAAAAAATGAAGGAGTGGGAACGGGATTTTGACCTCGAGTTTGAAGAAACGCCATTCCAGGCTGAGGAGCCCTTCTCTCGGGTAGAGGACACTCTCTCCTTGGATCTTGCCGCAGCTGCGGATACCCTTTCCTCACAACAGAGTCAAGACCGTGGACCTGATAGTCCGACACCAGTAAGGTTCTCCACATTCAAGCAACCCATGCTTCCGGTGTCCATTTCTCTGCCATCAATCCAGACGAGCAAGAAACCCTTCAGATCGCCTCTTCTGTCGACCACTGTCGCGAAGCCCTTCCGGGTACCGCTTGCGTCAACATCAACATCAACCTCCAGTTACGTCGCGTCTCCTCTCAATCCCAACCGTCCCCCCGTCAGCGAAGGCACCATCGCCACAGCGACTCCATCACATCTGCCAACACCCGTCACTGCGACGACGAATCTTCCCCTGCTTAACGTTACCCCTCAGAAGAAGACCCTTGGTATCACCCCTCGTCGAACGAACGGTAAATCCAGGTTTGTCACACCATTCAAGCCAGGTATGAAGCCGGGAGAACCGGGTCGTGCTCAGCTCGAACAGAAGTCTCCGGAGAAGGCGAAGGATGTCATATCCCCTTACAGGGGAAAAGGAAAAGGAAGAGAAACGAACCCTTTCCTTGCAGAACGTGAGTGTTTTCAAATCCGCTGGTGGGTATCAAAGTAATTCTTCTATAGCCCCACCAAACAGAAAGATACCACTTTCTGAAAGTAAATGGGTTCCACAACAGCATACATCCAAGGATCTCGAGTCTATGGACATGTGCGTACCTTTCAATACTTCCATGCTACAAGATTGCTCAAACACCGGTAGCAACATCGCTGAACTGAAACTCATCACTCCGCAAACTGCATTATACTACGCTTTCCATTCTGCCACACCTAATCCATATACTGCTTCTCAACTTCCAGGAATCGCAGCCACGCTTGGCACATCCGCGGCTCTCGCAGAGCTTTTAGCTCGAGGGTGTACTCTCGCCACGAAGGGATGGGTTGAGAATCACTGGGCGTTGGTATTGTGGAAGTTGGCGGGAATGGTGTGCTTAGCACCAGAGGATGAGAAGAACCCGGCGAAGAAGAGGTGGTGTTGGAGCGAAGTGATCAGGCAACTTCAATATCGGTATCACCTCTCTGTTCAGGTCTATCCCGATTTTTTGCTAACGGCGTATTGACCAGCTATGAGCGAGACCTCAATAGTACTTCTCGCCCACCTATTCGACTCATCACAACGCGTGACACCCCACCCACAGCCCCGATGGTACTTTGTGTGTCCAACATCATATGGCCAAACGAGGACGGTGCCGAGGACAACTCAAGCGTTCCCGAACTGGAGGTTACCGACGGTTGGTATAGGATCCGCGCACAGCTAGACACATGTCTTGTCAAAGCAGTAAGGAAGAGCCGAATTCGGATCGGCGGGAAGCTTGCTACAGTTGGAGCTCGCGTAAGTCTGATTCACATTTACACCTGCACCTTTTACTCAATGCGTCCCTTGACCAGCTTTCATCAGATAGCAAAGACCCTGCAGAACCGCTTGAAGCATATTCCACTACCACACTTTGCCTCACTGGCAACTCCACCCACCTTGCACCATGGTATGCTAAGCTCGGATTCCAGAGGCACCCTTTTATCGCTACGTTGCGTAGTCTCTCTCCAGATGGAGGAGTCGTCGCTATAGCGGATCTGGTCATCGAGAAGGAGTACCCTGTCGCATATCTGGAGTTCGTAGAGGTGGATGGGAAGATGACGAGGGAGGGACCGAGGAATGAGAAAGATGAAATGGTTTGTCAGGACCAGTGGAGGGTGAGTTTCACCTAACCGGCCGCCCCGAGTGTGTTAGAACGCTAGTTGATTATCATGCTACAGAAACGTCGAGAGGATGCTGCCAGCAAACTACGATATGACTTGGAACGAAAAGCGCTTTCGTGGTTCAATTGTGCGGACAGACTTGAACAAAAGGCAGGTTCAGGATTCCGGCCAGTAGATGGTAAGTCTATTTCTATTCCCTATCTCAGCCACAAGTTCATTCAGATTATCTTCCCCCGCAGACCCGCCCGAGACGATAGACAACCTTCTAATGGAGCTTGAGGACTCGGTCCCCACGCCAGCTAGCATTTCGACCACGAGCAGTATACCTGTTGCGGCGAACGAGATTATCAAGAGCGCTAGCGTGCATGAAGCTGGATGGCTCGCACGCGCGATCCGGGCAAAGGTGGAGAAGGACAGGGAGAACTTGATCGATAATATGGAGCGCGAATTGAACGTATGTGGTGTCTGCCACCCCCAATTTATCTCAGGTTACTAAACTGTCTGTGCAGCAATCATGCCCGCCACGTCAAGTCCGCTCTTTCCGCGTCCTCGTCGTCCACTCACATGTACCCCCATCATCGTCCCGCACGCACACGCGTCGGGCCCAGCTCACAGTGTGGGATATAGATCAACTTCAGATGGAGGAAGGGGAGAGTGAGGGGATCAAACCGGGACAGAGATTCATGGTAACAAACCTGGTGCCAACGCAAATGAGGAGTTGGACTGGCGTAGAAGGGGATGGTTATGTGTTTTTGAGCACGAGAAGGGATTCGAGGTGGGTTAGGTTGCCCAAGGGATAGACTCGTCGCGATGCTTTTCACGGAACCAAACATGAAGATGACGTTGTAATATTAATTGTAATGTATCGTAGGTGGGATGCTAAGAACACATGCATAGCATTATATCCTTTGTTAAAAGGAACGAGGAGCAATGAGAGGGGATGATATAAATGCAAAAATAGTGCGGGGATGTGATGCTCAAGCGAAAGGGAATGAGGAGATCTACCGACCACCGCCAACACCATACTTCGCCAACGTCTCCCTCCAATCACCAATATCTTCCTTACCCATCACCACCACTGTCGCCTGCTTCCTAACCTCAGGGCCAAAGATCCTCCTTGCCACATGTTGCACCTTCGCTGCATCCACCCTATCAATCATCTCACACATCTCCGTCACGGGGATCTTCCTCCCATGTACGAGCATCTGTCTCCCTAAATCTTCAACTTCAACAGCCCTACTCTCCAACGCCATCACCAATGAACTCTTCAGCTGATTTTTGGCACGGTCCAGCTCCGCAGCGGCGATAGGTGTGTAGAGAAGGAGAGAAAGTTGATGGACGAGATGTGGGAGGATTTGGGAGGGCGTGTTACCAGGAGAGCGTGAGCCGCTGTGTGGAAGGAAAGTGGCGAAGAGGCCGAAGAGGGAGGTGTCGGTGTATATGTGATGGAAGGAGGCGCAGTGGTCGATTTGTGGGTAATGGTTGAGAATGTGTGTATACAGGCGGGAGTACATGCCCTTTCCGGGACCGCCCGCAGAGAAACTGCCACCACCACCCAGGAGCACTTGCATGGTCGCTAGCGTGTAGACGTCATCATCGTGAATCCCTACGCCTTCGAAACCAAGGTATAAATGGTTGAATTCGGCCGACGGGTCTTGGATATAGCGGTGTCCACCTGCGTATGGCTGGTAGTGAAGCTGATTCAGCGAAGCCGGGCCCGGTGTCATTCCGTATGTTGGGTGGAAATATGACGATGCAGCCCGAGTGAGCGACTTGTATAATGATGGAGATTGTGCGGGAGGAAGGAATTGGGAGGGAGAAGAGCTTGATGAGCGTGCATGGAGAGCGGGTGTAGGTGCCGTGTGTTTCATTGACGAGAAATGTCTGTCGGCAAGCTCTACAAGCTGCTCGTGCGGCATTCCTGCGCCAGCAATGACCATTCTTTCTGGTCTGTACCAGTCCTTCATGAAGCTACGCATGATTGGCTCATCCACGACATCAATCCTATCCTCCGGGCAAAGCAACGGATTACCCAAGCCCTTGCCGTCGAAAGCAACCTCATGCAAGACTTCGGGAAGAATCATTTCCGGTTTGGCAGAGACTTCCCTGATCTCGTACCGTGCAGCGTCGCGCTGTGCAGCGATCTCTTCGGGGAGAAAGGCGGCGTTCGAGACAGTGTCCGCGATGAGAGACATGGCGAGCGGAGTAGCTTGGTGAAAATGTGAAGATTGATACATGAGTGTTTCCCGGGAAGATGAGCAGAATATCTGTCCGCCGAGTTTGTGCATGTCTGTGGACATTTCGACCTCGGAGCGGGTGGTCGTGGTCTGCGTAGAATTGGTCATCTGGGAATGGGAGGATATGCTCGGCGAGACGTACTTTGAAGGCCATTCTGTCTAAGAAATGGCTAACACCTGCGTTTGAATGGTCTTCATACCTGGAACCTGCGTCGACGTAGAGACCAATGGAGGAGAAATGGCCTGGAGTGGATTCCGTGGCTACACGGATCTTGTTGGGAAGGGTCGTAATTTGCACTGTGGAGGAGGTAGAGGATGGGCCATCGTGGATATGCCTTTGTGAGCGTAATGAACGCCTCAGGGCAGAAGTTGCAACTCTGCGCATCGTTCGAAACGGTGAGCTCGATGTATGTGACGGTGTGGAACTGAAACTATCGCGAGGGGAAGCGCCGACAATTCTCACAGTCAATTTGCAGGCAAAGGGACAAAAAAGAAGAGTCCCCACCGTGGTTCGAACACGGGGCCTCGCGATTGTTGCTGGTTGCAATCGCACGCTCTACCACTGAGCTACGGAGACGATGATGACTAGCTGACCGTGTGGCGATGTGACAGCACGATGGCAAAGATGATCTTGACATGCCGGGCAGTTGCAACTCCTCTGCCTCCCCTGCAGCCGCTTCGACCCTCTGATTATGTCGGGCATTACCCCTCCCCGTGCAAGCAGCATTCGCAGTGATCATTTCCCGGGTCTTGGTAAGGAGACCAGGGCAGGAGAACAGAAACGGAGAAAGTGTGTCATCCCCGCTGACTCATCGAACAGTGCACTCCCCTGCGGTGGCACTTGACAGACATGAATCCCTTTTGAATCATCTCTCTCTCTTCTCCTCTCTTTCCCCTCCCCCTCTCCCCCTCCCCCTCCAAGCTATCATGGCGATCAACGAAACCGTAGGATACTTGCGGGGAACGGGCTTCTGGGGACCAGCAACTGCAACACTCGACTGGTGTGAGGTGAGCGTGAACTCACCTCCTCCTAATCACATGCACTGAATCTCTCTACGCCCACACCATTCAAATCCGTTTGCTAGGCAAACTACCAGTTCTCTCATTATATCGCAGAGGCAGCGAATAGCTTCTCCAATGTGTTCACCGTACTTATGGCGTTGTACGGGGCTCACCAGATCAAAGCCGCATCCTTACCTGGTCGTTACTTGGTGGGCTGTACGGTGAGTATGCTCCTATTGCCGGATTCATTCTCCTGGTGAGAACAACTGTTTACTTTCAGGGATTTGGGTTCGTGGGCATAGGTAGCTTCATCTTCCACGCTACGCTGCTATACTCGGCCCAATTGGCGGATGAACTCCCCATGATCTATGTTGCCACATACTCTCTTGCAATACTCTTCGACTGCGAACCGGGTTTCAGTCTACGCACCCCAACAGCGCTGTTCATCTCCGCCCTTTACGTCACTTTCAACGTCCTCTTTACATGGTCATAGTAGGCATCACCGCCCGTTTTCCATTGCGCGCTGCCTACTAACCCACTACTGCTATCAAACGCAAATAGTGCCATATATCGCAATCCAGTCTACCATCAGGTCGTGTTTGCCATGATCATGTTCATGAATGCTTTCCGTACCGCATATCTTCTCCGTGCTTCCCCTGTCTCATCCCATATCCCCCCAACACTTCGCAAGACCATCAAGAATATCTTTGGCTCTGGCGCAGGGATATTTGCCTTCGGATTCTTCATCTGGAATCTTGACAACATATTTTGTGGCACTGTAACACAGTGGAAGCATGGCATCGGCTGGCCGACAGCGTTTTTGTTGGAAGGACATTCGTGGTGGCATTTGTTCACCGCCTTGGGTACTTATTTGATGTTCGTTGGGAATACTTGTGAGTTTGCGGTTTGAATTCCTAAGGCTTCCTTCTCTGATCCATTTCGAATTACCCACCATGTTACACATAGATTTGTGAGTGCACCTCACTGGGTTGGCATCAGTCTATCACTGAAATTACGCACCCGCAGCTCGTTATGCATCAAAGACAAGAACGCCCACAATGACATCATGATCGCTAACACACTAGGCTTCCCCAGGATAGTCCGCGCCTCTCCGTTTGGCAAGTCGAAGATCCAGTAGACCTGTGTCCTTGCCCACCAACCACGAACAACCTAACGACAGTTCCCCACTAAATCCTTTCGGCGCTCAAGTATCTAACTGCTCGTCTAGAGCTTTTGTTTCTGTCTTCCAACATGTGTAGCATCTAACACCCACGACTTTTCATGACAATCGCTTTGTTTGTTGCAATTCATTACATGGTATTATCGGTGATTTATTTTCTGGTCCTGCCGGTGCTCGCAAGGGACAGGGAGCTCTGAACAGTAATTCACAGCAAGTGAAGACTTCGGCCTTCCAGATGATCTCATGCTTCTGTGCCAGTGATGATCTCCGCAGCTATGATTCCAAGTAGTAAGACGATCTCAGCATTGAGTCAATTGTCACGAGTAATATAGACATACCGATCTCTGCGATAGCATACACCGTTGCTAAAAGCACACGCCCCTGAGCCTGAGCAGTGACAACAATTAAATTGTAGGAAGAATACGCACCTTGGGTATGAGTGGCGATATGGATGGGAATAATCGACAAGTCAACCACGCGAAGGTTGGTTGTCCCGTACACCTAGGGATTGCTCAAATTCAACGAGAGCAAAGAATTCAACAAAACACCGCGCACTTTCAGATATGGATCTACCACTCCGCCTTTCTCCCTGGGCAACATGGAACATGACGAGCACGTGTCTGCCAAAGTCTTCAGCTCGAGATAGTGTTGAGAACGCGTGGAAGAAACGTACGCCATGGAGAGAAAAATGTTTTCTTGACGAAGTCTAAGAACGGATTAGCACTCCTTGCACGGTACGGATTCGGACAAACAGCGCGGAGTGGACCGTACCTCTCATCTGCTCATTATTGCCCTCAGCGACAGAGGGACCAGGGATGATATCGGCAGCTAGTCAATGGATTTATATTTGGGATGGCTCTTCCTTGTGAAAAGGAGAACCGAACTCACCTATAATATTCTTGAGTGGCTCCGTGGCAACGAGTTTTCTAGCGAAATGCAGAGCTTCTACGAGTACTTGCAGATCTAGTGCCCATTGCGCAATCAAGAGTAGTCGCAGTGCATGTGAGCCTCAAAACCCACCGACATCATCCTCAAAGTATCGCGGATCGAATTCTGGGTCTTGCAGCGGATCATTAGACGTGCAATGCTGCCGAAAGCAGTTCACACCTATGAGCGGCATGCGCAGAAGTATCAAGCTGAAACTACCGTACAATCGTGCCTCTTGAGAATGCATGGAAGTTGCTGACATTCAGCGTGAAATACTTCTTTCCTGGGGTGAGTGAAACTATGAGATGAAGGTATGCTGTCAGTCCTCCGCGCTGATTCAATACATAAAGAAGCCAACCCACGCCCCTGCGTCCTCCGTGCCAGTCCGGGGAACGTGATGAACTCGATAGAAGGGCGGCGGTACTTCATGCGATCAAGTTGCATGCGGTATTGCTCCTTTTGACTCGACGTAAAGGATTCGGAGGCGATCTTTTTCATGACAGCTTCCTTGGTACTCTTGAAGATCTCATCCGCCTTTGAGGAGATCATATCGAGACTGCAGAACGTGTAGCCAACAAGACCTTGGGTGAACAGACCCTGTCGGGTCTTGCTATGGAGAGTGAGAGGTCGAGTGAGCAGACGTTTGACGAATTCAGCGTATCAGTCATACTGAAGTTCAATATGTTCAGCAACCGCTGCTGGGTCGACCAGAATGTCCATTGTCTCCAGGAGAGGATCATCTTTGAGTTCTGTGCGATGAATGGATGAGTTTGTGATGTGAGAGAACGTTACGTTGTTCATACCCCAGCTTGTGCCGATCATAAGATGGTCTTGGACGTTCGTTCCGACACCAGGCAGGTTCACCCTCACTGGTACATTAATCTTCTCCAAGATCTTTGGGTCACCAATCCCGGATAACTCTAAAATCTGCGGGGACCTCAGCGCCCTGTTATTGGGTTAGCGCCCTCAGGTTGTCCTCCGACACTTCTTCATTGTGCAACTCACCCGGCGCATAGAACGACTTCTCTCGTGGCATGCACGCTGCGCTGCTTGCCTTCGTATAGAAACTCGACCCCTGATGCCTTCATGTCCTGAGAATCGGTCGGCTCCGTGATGACCTGAGTAACATGAGCGTTGACGAGAACGGTTAGGTTGGGCCGGTCCTTGTTGGGGAGGTAAAATGCCTGAAGAAAGAAATGGGTGTAAATGGGAGGATCTCATCACGAGTCTAAGGCAGTACTAACTGTTGTTGCGTACGACCGGGTGTATGTGCTAGGATCATGAGTGTTCGGTGTCAAGAAGTAACCTTTGGGCTGGCGGGTCCAAAACATTCTTACAATGAGAAGATCGTAGAGAATAATACTAAAAGCCATGCTTACATCCCCCCCAAGCTATTAGCGACTGACCATCAATTACAGCTTCTATGATCAGGAGGAACGACGCTTACAGAATTGGGAGCTGGGGGTATGTCGTTTTTGAATAGGGCCTGGCGAAATTTCGATTGATCAGACGTGGCAGTCCACATCCATACCCTCGAATCAACCATACCTCTTGGACAAGGGCTTCAATGCGATTAAACTTAGGCGGAAAGGTGATCTTTAGAATCCCTGAAAGTAAATGAATGTCAGAGTATATATAACCCCGTGCCCATTTGCACAATACCTTCTGTCCCTAATTGCCACAGTCCAGCCTTCAGCTGTCCTTCAGCTAGGCTTTCGTCTGACGGACAAACAAATCTATACACGTTCAACAGGCAGTTCACAGCTACCCCGGGCTACTTGAGCACCACTCACCCCTCAAGTTTGTTCAAGGCGTGATTGTAACGTTCCCAGTTCCAACCGGGGTTTCCCAGACGCTCAAAGTCTATAATAACAATGTTCAGATCATTAATTATTGATAAAGCTTTGTGGGTCGCACCATTGATGTCCTCCGCAGGAGGCTTCATCCAACTGAAGAAGTTGATTGCTGAGGAACCCCCGAGACCCTTGCCGCTGAGAGGGGATAAATCAACATTGGCCCAGCGAGTTGAGAAGCGTGTCTATACCGTGTCCATAGGACTTTTCGCTCGTCAATGTGCTCTTGGGGTTTCTAAGAAAGCGGTCAGTCAAAACTCTACGTTGTAAGTAAGAAAAAGTATTCCTGACGCACGGTGAAATGTGTCCATGCATATTTGTCGTTCCCAAAATGAATGCCATAGCACCCAGGACGCACTACAGGTCTCAGTTGACGTTCAATGTTATGCCTCAGATGAGCATGAGCACGCACAAATCATAGGGTCATCGATGTTCTCTCCACCGGCCTCTAGTACGAGAACGGTGCGGGCAGGATCCTCGGAGAGTCTCGCAGCAAGCGTTAATCCTGCAGTCTTCATAGGGTGACCATTATGAATGTTCAGGTGTTTTGAATGACTAGACGTACCCCGCCACCTAGAACGGCATCGTAGTGTCAGCGATGTCTATCGGTCAAAG